ATCCAGTTCCAGCTGCGCAAGGAATCACCTACCCAATGACACCACTGTGAAAGCAGAACCAAGTGTGCAGTCACATTTAACTCACTGGAAGGCTTCAGAACTGGGTGAATTGCACTGGTGTGAGACTTTTTTTTTTCTTTTCTTCCAATCACTCATTGCACCACAGCAAGAGAAGCTGTAGTACTAAAAGGTTTTACCTTTGGGCCTGAATATAGATTTAACTAACACCTACTATTCTTTTTACCTGTTTTTGTAATAGAGTAGGAAGCAACAAATTTCTGGTGCTTTACCTTTACTAGAAAGGAAAAATGAATTAAAAGTCATTAGCCAGCATGTGTTAACTAACACAGATAAAACATTAATGAGACAAGGCAAACAACTCCTAGATGTACTGGCACATCGCTCTTCATGAGGCAGTTTCCTCAATCCCCCCACCTGAAGTGACTGAGAGTAACAGACATTAACAGGTTCCTGGAGATTTACCACCTGAACTGATAGAGTGATTCCTGCATGGATGCTGCTCGTCTAAGAGCATTCCCAGAGAGAGTGTTTACCATTTAATTTTCCCCAATTAGCCAAGCCCTTGGATAGGAAATACCTATTAAGGATCTAACACAGGTCTTCTAATTCCGATGCTAATTGTAAGGAGAGATGCCCTTGGCATTTCTGACCCAGAGCCTGGCTTTTGGTGTCTCACACATGCTCAACATGTTAGGACATAGGTTGCTGTCTTATGTAAGATTCAAACTTTGTTAATTTGATAAAAATTTAACAGTGAAATGCTACTGCTTGGAAAATGTCTGTTTTGTTTTCCTCTCCCTTGGTTCAAGGGCTGAATGTCTGTCTTTCTTCCAATTCTCTCAGGCAGTGGATTCTTAACCAAATACTGCTAAGATGCAAAGAGTACTCCTCTATTGGCTTGGAGGAATTTATTTATAGACACTTAAATTCTTTCTTAATCAGTGCACAATCATTCAACAGTCTAATCAATGCATTCTACAGCAACAGAGATCCATTTAGAGCTACAGAATTTTTCTTTCACTGTATTAAAGACCTCCTAGATATGGTAAATTACTTCCCTCAAGTAACCATAGCCAAGATTATATAAATAGATAAATAGCTATATAAATAAATTTTGGCTTTGCTCTGTATAAACAACAGTTGAACAACCAGTGCAGAGAATTACATAGTTGTTAATTCATAGTGGGTGAACATTGCAATTTGGTTTCAAGTTTCCCTCAGAGCCAAAATTAAATTGCCAAAGCCAGTAAATTTTCTTTCATCTATTCCAAAATGCCAGCCATTACACCCCTGTGGGAGTGGAACTCTGTTCAAATCTGCACAGGGAAAACATCAGTCTAAACCTGGGTGAAAAGGCAGGGCTAACTGCTGAGCTGGTGTATGTTAAACATGGAATGAAATTACATTAAATCACACAGCCAAGGTAGATGTGTATATTTATTCTATTCAACTGTTAGGTCATTTGACCAGTGCAAATCTTTCCATCTAAAGACTGAGATGGACAAAGTCCCTCCATTTTATGGGAAGAGTCCAACTGCCCTTTTGACTTGAACTGCTTTTATATGTTTGCAGCCCCTCATCACAAGTCCTGCTTTTCCCTTAAGCAAAAATCTAGCTATTAGCTACATTCCTATAGGGACACCTGAAAATTTTCCTCAATATGAGAAAATTGTATTATTTCGGTTTGGGATTTAAAATAAAATCCTGCTGCTGTAAAGCCTGGTTTACAAGAAAGCACAGTAATCCAGCACCAGGTGCCGAGGCTTCCTTTCCTGCAGGGATAAAAAAATCTTTCCCAGTCCCCCTTCGAGAGCACGCAAGCATCTGAGCGAGGTGTCTAGATCAGAGCTTTCCTGGGGGAGAGATAAATGACAACACTGAGTAAACACTTGGAGACGATGCTGGAACCTGTTCTGCTTTCTCTTTGGGGGCAGAATAATTGACATGTGACTCAATGGGAATATTAACAGAGTCAAGAGGCACACATTTGAGCAACCGTTGCCACTTGTGGGCACAACTTCCAGCATCTTACATGCAAACATTAGTGGATATATAGCAAAACCCAAAACTTGCACAGTAACAGCAAGTTTGCGTTGCATTTCAGGAACGACCCTATCCCCAGGCACATTCCTGTTTGTCTCTTGCTTAGAGGAAAGAGTCTATCAGCCATAGTGCACATATGTATGTATACATAACAGAGCCATTCAAGCTTGTAGCATCACCAAAAAAAAAAAAAGAAAAAAAATCTGCTGCACAGTGCTCTAGGCAGGGTCAGCTAAAAACAGCTGCTATCCATAGAAGCTTGAAAATACAAAGTGAGAGTGGAGCTTTGAAGTTTTTTTAAAGCAGATAGAACTGTAGCAATGTTCTCAAAGGGGAAAACCTCTGCAGAGTTCAGTGAAATAAGAAAATGGTTTTTTCAAAGTGGGACAGCAACAGGCCCAAGTTCAGTATCACAGACTGCGTGCATGAAATTTGCACACTTTCATTTTTAAACAAAAACCCTTGCATAGCTAATATTTACAAATAAATCTGCACACACAAGACTGGCAGGTTAAGCTGCAAAACCAGAGAAGCATTACATTCTTCTGCCTAGCAGTAGCTCAAATACTGTTCAAGTACAAACGCTACATTTATTCTTTTAGCGGTACTTCAGATTCGATACAAGAATCTTAAAAATCTTCCTGAAAATTAATGTAAGTGCCTTGAGCTCCAAGCAAGTCCACATCTTGACAGAACACATACACATGATCCTACAGCAGTATAAGTTCACTGACATGAACTGCTGCAGCCCCCAGTACTCCAGTAGTGCATTCCTTGAGAAAATGCTGTGCATCCACCTTATCCTTAGAAATACCAGCACTGGAAAAAAGGCAGGTTTATTGCTCTTAAAAGACAGTAATAGAAAGGCTTGAATCCTATAAACAAGGAAACCCAAATGTATGGATTGGAACAAGCGGAAAAAAAACCCACCAAAGTGCCTTTCAATGTATTGAATTGATCTGAATCCCCCTTTTTTTTGAAGGTTAAATCTTGTTCCTATTAAACACAAACTGGCTGATGATTTCATGAGAGTGTTCAGGGGTTGTATATTTACATGCTTGGCTGTTCCTTTCTCTGCTCTGTACTTCAGATGTAGAATAGAAAGGTGATCACAGCAAAGTACAGCTTTGCAATTTGAGCCCGCAACCAACCAATGCTTCCTACATTAGACTTGGAACTGAGCTAAAAAGAAGCACAAGACTACCTACTACCAAACTGGCCAGGGGAGTGACAAGCTTTTACTACTCTAATAGTATAGTACAGAACAAATGGCATTTGTTTTTAAAATGCTTTGTCTTACAAAGCAAGCATAAACTTTTGAGTAAGGGAGGGATGCTGAGCAACCTGACAGAGGGAAGTGAGATGCAACCTCTCTGATCTGAAGAGTTCATGTGAGACTGCCTTATGCCGAACATGCCTAGAAGAACAGTTCAGAGGTATATCAAGCAGCTCACTGAACACACCCTAAGGTGCTTGGTTTTTCTTTTATATAGAGTACAAGTACTACGCTTAAGCCTCTCAACACAATTTCAGTCCACGTAACAGTAGCACCCTGCACATAATTAGCACTCCTTATTCCAATTAGTTTCAGCAAGCACTGCTGCTTTTTGGCCTCCCAAAACTGAATGAGTTTTGGGGTTGTGGGACAGGGCAAATTCAGCATCTGTTTCCATATAAGAGCTGGTAATCAACACTTAATGTCAGACAGGATCATCAAAATATAGTTTTATTTACATTTTCATATTCAAATTCAATACAAATCATGAAATATTTACAACAATTTTAATTGTACTATAGATAAGAAAATGCATTGCTTTTCCCCTCCAGATTCAATAGTACTTTATTGCGGGCTTTAAGATGAGGTTCTGCTAACATTAGAAACAAGCCACAGATACAGAGATTAAAAAAAAAAAAATAAAGTGCATCTATAAGATGTTCTTAGATACCTTCGCTGGGCAAGGCCCTACACTTACTATTGAGGCACCCAGTTCCTCCTCGACCTCAGTTCAACTCCCCACAGATGGCAGACAACTTCTCCAATCATTTGTTATGTTTACAGCATGTCAGCCCTCCCTGCAACTTTAGCACACAGGCAAGACAATGCACAGCAACAGTCCAGCATTTTTCAGAGGCTGGATCATTTTCTGAACAAAACACAGCAGATCCTTTGGGAAGAATCTATCTTTTCATCTTTAGTTCAGTCTTCCTGAAGTCATCCGACTCTCACAAAGCCAGGACTCTGGCATATTGCTGGTGCTAGAGATGGTTGTAACTCCAAAAATCATGGAGGATCTTTCAGACTGTCTAATACGAACAGATTTGAAAAGTTCCTGCAATTGTTCCCTTTACAGTATTGTGCAAGTCAGATTTGGCCTGTCAGCTTGAAGCTCTCTTTTTTTCCCTTTAAGAATGTGTGGTTGGCAGGTTGGAGTTGAGAGGTAGAGAATCAATCTGTTTACTAGAGAATCAAAGACACTGTGGGCAAAATCCAGTTTGACAGGCATTAGTTTGTACTTTCTCCTATCAAATTAGTGCACTGAAATATTAAATACAGTGTTGCTTTAAACTAACCTGTGTCTGGTAAATAAGTATTAGACCAGATCAAAATCAATTTGTTTACAATGAAAATCCACTTGAATTAAAACAAACAACAAAAAAACCCAAAACAATTTCCAGTAGAGACAGCTACGACATAAAGAATCTTCTCCTTATTTAAATGACTCAAACACTGAAGAGAAGCTTTGCTGAAGATGGAACTTTTGTTTTAGTGTTAAAATCTGATGGTTTTCTTTATATTTAAGACAGCTTTATCCGAAGAGTGCTAAAACTAAATTCCACAAGGGAGGTGCAGTTTTAAGAATGGCAAACCATACAATTATGATTTGAACAAATCTATTTGATCTCAGCATTGCCAAGGCAATATTTTTCTGCTACAGTCTTGCAATGTTTGTTACACACGATGGCAGTAGGCAGCTCCTTGCAGAAGGCTTACACTCTGTTGCCGGGCATGTTCTTAGGACCTGACTTCACGAACTTGTGTTTCGTCTGCCTCAAAGCTTGGGTTGTCAACGTGTGGAAGGACATTCCCAACTGACTGGGATTCATTGTTTACAAGATGCATGTTGTCATCTGTCCAGAACAAAATCAAGAAAAGACAAGTTAAGAAGTGTCATAGGCAAGCTTCACTACCTTAAAGCAAACCACGGTTGCTTTGTTCCACAAGCCTACTGCAGTGGTCTTTTCCCAGCACTTTTCCTGCAGAGTGGGAAATCCAAGGCCGTGCTCTAACTACGACTTCTGCTGCCCCTCATTAGTTTGTGAGCCCAGTCTTGACACTACCTGTCATTTCTAGAGGTATCAGTATCTGCTTGGCTCTGGAGTTCACTTCTCACACTGCTGAGGAAGCCTAGGTTGTGTGCTCAAGTGGCAGAAGGCTGTGTAAGGCTACGAAATCCAACTATAAGAAGATTGGCAATTCTCATACAACGTTAGGGCTGCTGAAGACAGGCATCAGGAGCAACTTCTAGAGACTAGGTTCGGGTTAAACCATGGGACACAGGATGATTCAGAGAGGAAGGCTGCCTCTCTACAGACTAACCTTGTTAGGCCAATGTTCGTGTGTGTCCTTGCCACTCAAAGTGAAAATACACAAGGGCCTGAGCCATATAACTAATCCAGCATCACTTCAGTTGCTTATAGGGATGCAATTTCAACTTCTGATGTTTAGCTTATAGGAAGTGTCCTCTGCTCTACTGGGGTGCCTAAACGGGGCACTCCCGTACACACATCACTCGCTGGAGCAACACGTCCCACAGGTGGCAGGCAGCAAATCCCACACTTTCCTAAAAGCTAGGTTTCCTGCAGAAAACTAAGCAGACACAGCCCTTTCACCTCTGAACGCTTCCCCACTTACTCCTCTTCCCAAGGCCATTCCACAATCTAGGGGATAGTTACTTTTGTTTGTTTACCTGGAACCTTTCCTTTTTAAAAAAAACAGGAACACTGAGCCTGTGTTGGCAAAGTTGAGCACTAAAATGACATTTTCAATTAATTTGCTCTTGTTCAAAAAGATAAGGTATTTGGAAAAGCTGATAGTCTTTTCCAATTAAAATTCTCTGAAAGTATTCAAGGATGACTCAGCCTTGGTAAAATCTGAAATTCAATTGAAGTATTTGTCATCTCTATTTTGCATCATCTAAGCTAGAGCAGGACTGACTCCCCAGAAGTTTTCTGTAAGTAATTAACTACTTAAAGCAGACAGATCTGGTGGCAGAGCAACACTCACTCATCCAAATGAAAACTCCAAAGAGACAACGAGATGAGGGACATCTTCAGAAAAATCTCTTTGGCCTTTAAGTAGTAAGCCTCTGATTTTCAACTACTCTTTTCATAGACTTCAGCTTTTAATTCACATTTAGGTTGTATTTCATTTGAAAACAAAGACCAAGTGTCAGAGCCAAGTACTAAAACAAAAGGGAAGATTAAGATTACCCTGAAAAACAAGGTACTCGAGCACTGTGAGATGTTAAGGCAAACCTCCCTAATTCACAGCATAAGCAACAAAGTGCAATGCAATCTAGCAAGACAGATGAAACAGTAGACGCACTTTCTGATGGTGCATGTTCCTCCAGAACAGATTCATCCGCTCCTTGTACAGAAGCATATCCAGATGATGCTGTTTCACTATGATTATCCTCTTCATTAACTGTAGAGACATTTGATGTCCCAGTGGATACTGTGGCTTGCACAGACTCGGCCCCTTTTTCTCCATCCACCTTTGTGAAAAAAGAGAAAACGGTTAAGTTACAGCTTTGTAGGAGGCCGCATCTTTTCAGGAGACCAATACCTGCAAGGACCAGAGTCTAGCAAACTTTTACCCAGGAAAAAAATTAAAAATTAAATTGAAAAAAGCTCTGCTGTTAACCGCCAGCATTATAGGTGAAAACCAGTTACTGCCTAATTGAGTGGGAAGTTGAGATGCAGCTTCTGCATTCTTCAGCCAGCTCTTCCCTTTTACTGCCCAGTATTAGGAAAATAGATTCTTCCTTCCACTCAGCGCAGATCTCCCTCCCCCAGGCAAACTCTGTCATACATTTTAGCTGGTCCAGGCAGTGTCAGGCATTGGCAACAGCATCTTCCCCTGGCACTTGCCACAACAAGCAGTTGCAGAACACATCAGAAATTCCTTGCGTATCCTAGGAAGTCATGTGGCTCCAGGAAAGCCATACATGCTAACACATTCACTTTTCAAGGACTCTGGGTACTTAGTAACTGAATAGAGGCTGGTTTCAGGGACAGTATGAGTTGTCAAAGTCTGCCTAAAACTTTGAGAAACACCCTTAGCTGCAAGCGCAAGAGCTAAGAACAATTCTTCAGTCACGCATTACAATCAATTTTGGTTGACATTCTGCCCAAGGCTTTAGATGATACCAACTCAGACAGGTTGGCTGCAGGCTTCGCTAAAGGGGACACAGCAATTAGTCCTGTAGCATCTCCCCACTGACATGGCAATGCCTGTGCTTATCACCTGCGCTTTAGAGGCAGCACGAAATAGCTCAATATGTGGTTACTACACTACTGTAATACTGATAATGGCATCTGCCACTGAGAAAGACTACTGGCTTACCTCAACACCCAAAACTTTGAGTATGTCACATTTGCACATCGGGCATGTCCTGTGTTCCAGAAGCCAGGGGTCAATACAGTTCTTGTGGAAGAGATGGCTGGTGGAAGAAGGTAACCAACAAGTTAGGTTTCACACCAGGAAAACTGTTTGTGTGGCAGCTATGAAGGCCCATTTAGAAACACCAAGAGTTTATCCATTCTAGAATGGATTACCTTATTTTGCCACAAGTTTCGGTTGAAAGTTACGGATAGTTGATTTCTCAATCTGTAGCTGGTTTATACTTATTAGTATCTCTATACAACTTGCTAGAATTCAGCATTATCATCTTTGCTACATCAGTCTTAAGCTTTTTTTTTTCTTTCAAATCTGTGTACAATATGTTCCCAGCTGATAATTTAACTAATACAAATATTGACATCTCAGCCTTAGCTTTAAGGTTAACTTCTGTCATGCAGATGCAAATGACTAAATAGCATTTGTTTCTATTAAAACTACACAGAAAAATTATCTCACAGAGTTATGCTCCAAAGATAAACTATACTCCCACACATTTACTTTGTCTATGCAGTCACTGTGTATTCCAAGAGGATATTTGGCAGGCTGTGTACTCAAGAAAGTAAATATAATTCAGCTATTATAGATGCAAATGTGTGCTTCTGTGAAGACACTCAATTCCACAATGGGTCTGAATTAGGCCACAGATTTAGGAGGATGACTTGAAATGCTGTAATCTGCCTGTTCCCTCAGCCTGAATAGAAACAGCAAGGCAGACAGGCACTGCTCTATATATATATTAATCAGAACTCTATTATGAGACAAGTGCAGAGATACCACATCCAGTGCTCAGTATCCTATGCCCCAGTATGATACCAGGATTCTCCAATTCAGCCCACATAACCAGCACTTCCTTCCAGCTGCACCAACGTAGTGTCTAGAGTACAACCTGAAACTTCCTTGATGCGTGACAAAATATTTTAAGTACTTGGACTTAATACTGGTCTTGTGTACCTTTGCTACTATAAATGCCTTCAGTTTATCTGGAGAAGAATGCCTTCTGCAAATACACATGCCCTAGATACTTAGATACCACTGATGTAACTCACAGGAGCATGTGATTGCTTGTTTCGTTCATGGATGTAGTTAAATGCTTTCAACAAGTAGGGTCTCAGTGTTGAGGTCAACCACCAACATCAAGTACATTCTTGCAGTAAATATCAGTTTATAACTCATGTGAGAGAGAATTTAATATGGCTGATACTGGCAGAAATCACCACTGGTGAAGATTATCAAGAAAATGCAGTCATCTTAAGCTAGTGCCTCTTAGAGCTACGTTTGGGCCAAAGAGGAATGAAACATCACAAATGCATGTAAAAGCAGTCTCAGAGCAAAGCATAATGCAGCAAATTTGTGTATAAAGAATACATTCAAAAGAAGTTACTCCCCTCTTAACCCAGTAAGTCATGCTTTGTTTGCAAGTTCATATCAAGATTAGCAGGGTTTATAGGGAAATAATGAGAAGTCAAGTCTCCTATCAGCCAAAAGTATCTAGAGCCTGTCTAAATGCTTCGGTACTCATGGGACTTACTTCATTACTAAACAGGACTACCCACGAGCACAAACCTGACAAGACAACTGAATAATCATTAACACGCATGCCTGAAAGCTTACTCAGTTTTGGTTTTTTCTAAACTATTAAGCATTAGATCAAGGAAGTTTGTTGATAACACCTTAACAGGCCAACTTCTTAATATCAAAAGAGCTTAGAAGTCCTACTGCTTGGGAGAAGAGAAAGCTTTTGCAAAAACCGTAACCTGGTGCAAAGGTAACCCCAGCTCAGATTTGATAGTGTTTGACAAATAACACTGCTCAGCGCACAACAACAGCTACAGATTTTTCCGTTCTTCACGATTTCATTTCTCCTACATCAAAATTTTTCCAAGTGTTTTTTTGTAACCCTCCACAAGGGTTACAAAAACTCTTTCTATACAAAATTTGTGCAGTTCACATTGCAGTCCTCTGATTTTAGAAGCTTTGCCAGAGCAGTCCCATCCTCCCCCCAGAGCAGGCACAGGGGGAAGTCCCACAGAACAAGTTTCCTTAAGTCCTGAAAAGGTTTCATTGCTCATCTTAGGAGCAATCAAATTAAAGTCTTAGTGCTACAATACTGGGCTTCCACAGAAGCACAGCAACGAGATACAACAGTAGAGAATTCTAGACAAATAAACTGCTGTCGCTCTATTTTGGTCTCTATTTCAGATGATGCATACAAGAATATAAATGCTTTCTTCTAAAATACAAAAGTTAGCATGGTTTAACAAGTTTAGAGGGAGCATGACCCTCTTAGTAACCAGTAAACTAAGTGAGAAGAAACGGGCATAGTTTTGCCAGTTATCTGCAATTTAGAGGTAACATTCTTATACACCAGCAAAGGAAGAAATCTTTAAAAGGCCCTGGCATCCCCTGGAGAGGCACTGTGGTCTGCCAAGTTATACTTGTCAATCCACTCACAGGGGAAGTTATGAATACAGGCCATCGGGGCACACTACAAGTGTGTATTTACACAGTTCCTGTTGTTCAAAAGACTGTTTGACAGAGATTCAAGAATTCTTGCTGTGCAACAGCTTGATTAAAATTTGATCAGCTTTGATAACATAGCAGAAGGAACCACCAGTAAGACACATGCTTCCAGATTTTGGATTAAGGGGCAGTTTGGAACACAACTTACTTGCAAGTCAGAATACGCACTACTTCGTTCGGCTTGTACAGCTCAATGCACACAACACAGCTATCTCCATCGGGACCGGTTTCCTAAAGCAGTGAAATGAATTTACAGCATTAACAGACTTTGAAAGCTTCCTTTGAACTACAGTCAGATTTACTGCAAACAAAGGGGTCTAGCTAAAGTAATCTAAGATAGCTCCCGTATATAATCTTAGATAAACACATTGTGTGGATTACTCATAGTCAAGCTGACACTTTAACAGAAGCATTGAAAGTTTAATCCCATGGTTTAGAAGTCCAGCTGCAAACCATCGTTGGATTATTTGAGGCACTACTGTAGAGGTTCAGAAACTGCTACCCCCAGTTTTAGTTACAAAAAGAATAGCCAGGAAGCAGATTAGATATACTAGTTTACCTTTAAGCATCCATGTCGGCACATTAGGACCTCTCACCTCATCAAGACTACAAGCAAGCAGCTAAAAAAAACCCCTCATTTATAAGAATGTGCAAATTGTAGAGTCTTGCACCCCGGAAAAGGACCTGGTCTGAAAGAGGAACCATCTCTTCAACTGACAGTTACGAGCTCAGAGAGACTTCTGAATCCTGCTCCAGTACTAAGGACTACTTTCTGGATTCTGTGCAAAGGGTGTGCCATAACACTCGTGAAATTATAGGATCAGTCATACCTTGTCCCCTTGCTTCAGGGTGCGCAGCTGTAACTGTTCAATGGCCTTCTTAGCCCTGGCCTTTAGTTGTCGCTGTAACAGAAAGCAGTCCTGGTTAAACACAATCATTTTTCTCTTAAGTGGTAGTTACTAATACTTATCAAGGTGCCTACTGCAAGCAGACACCAGTTTTATAACCCAGATGTTATCAAAACAAGCCAAGTAAGCATGACCATGCTATTTAGAGACAACATGAAACAGAGTTTCAGGACATACTGATGTGGTTATTGACTCTGGATGACGAACCAACAAGGCATTTGCATATGCTTTGTTTTTACACAACCTTTTCACAAAGCACAGGAATTTCAAGGGTTTCTTCTTTGAGAAGATGTAAGATAATACCTTCATCAGATTAGACCTAGCCAAAACAAACAGAAGCCTTCAAACTGACTTAGTACAGAAGACCAAACACTGAGTCGGACAATCAATAATATTAACTACTCTCTTTATGACAACTTCCTGCCACAAACTCACATCCTGATGAAAGGTGAGATTCTTTACCAATCAGCTCAGCTACCACCAACGCATCCTCAACTAGTCCTCTGCCACAACTGCTTTACAGAGCACGCAAACAGCTCAGGAGCCTCCTAGCACCGACTGCTCCTGTCAAGTGGAAGAATGCAGTTTTATCTCAGTATTGGTTCAAGGTAGCATGCACAAAGGAGAAAGAAAAAAAAAAAAGGGCTCAGAGCTATTTCTCCCCCTCCCCATGACACAAGGTGTGAAACAAATCAAATGACTAGCCCCAGGTGGATTACAGGGCAGCTTTAATGAAAGCAGAGGAGGAAGCATTCCCCTTTATGCAATAATTTGCTTGCTGCTGTCAGGATAGCAGGGCAGAGATGAGCAGACAGCAGAAGCCCAGCTTGCCTGGCAACTGTTGCTGTCCAGCTGTCACTGCAAAGCATTTAATAAGCACAGGAGCCAACATCTCTGTTTAAAGGTCACAGGTTGGTGCTGTTCCACCAACTTGAAGAATATGACTGTCCTCTCCCTCCCTGGTGCTCTTACTGCCTCAGGACACAGAAGTGTATCAGGCAGCTCTGGCAGCACCGACCCAACACAGCACTTACCTTAGGGACAGACTAGACTTAAGTTGTGCAGCTAACCAAAAATCCTCTTCCCAATTCAGCCGCTCAGTGCGGGAACCCCGCACTGTTAGCTTTCCAGCATTACTTCCCCTTACGCATTTTAGTTCAGTTACAAGAATCTTTCCTGGGATGAAGGTGCAGTGCTGGTGGCACAAGTACAGAAGGAACAAGTGGGTGGAGGGCTGCTGCTGACACCTAACAAACTCAGCGAGAATTGGTAATTCAAGTCTGAAAAGATTCCCTGTGCTGAAGCAGTTAATGGCAAACAAGTTGATTTATATGGCCCACTGGGACCCTGTCAAACAGTTTTGGTGCAAAATTACCTATTCATATATCAGTGTTGTTTTGGGGTCCTAAGATATAGCATCAATGTGCACGCTTTTAGATTTTAATAGTTGATAGCTATTAACAACTACCAAGGAAGATATACATACAATCCAAAGGTGAAGGATGTAAACAAGTTTTCAGGTATATTTTTAGGAACAAGAACTAGTCAAGTTTTCCTTAAAACTTGTAGAGTTCTTCTGCTGAAGACATCAATATATGTTTCTGTATGTCACTTAAGGTTAACTTTAGAATAATGTTCCCCTTCTCAATGTTTCAGACTGAAGCCACAGAGAAGCAGCCACATAGTCATCTCAGTAAACACTGAGGCCCCCAAAAATTTCAGCAGCAAACATGGTAACATCAATAGAGCAGG